GACCAATTAGAAACAAAATGTCCTCAGATAGATGTAGCTAATTCCCGCCATGTGATCACTCTGAAGGAGTGTAACAATCTGGATCAAAAAACCCTTTCAGGAAAACAAATCAGTTGCAAAAATGTTTTTCATAGAAAATTGTAGTGACTGATATTTACTCTTCTGAGATAAATCCACAAGCTAATAACTGGAAAATCAGACAGTCCCTAGGTATTCCGCCATATTATCCACCTATCTTACGTCAACGAATAAGATGACAATGGATAAGGGCACTGGACCCAAGGAGCTTGGGTTTTAGCCCTGGTTCTGTCGATGACATGCTGAGAGACCTGGGAAAGTCACTTCTCTCTGTATGCCTCAGTTTCTCTATTTGTAGAGTAGGGATAATGATACTTCCCCAGCTATAGAAAGTGCTGTGGAGATCTACTGATGACAACCCCTATATAAGAGCTAGGTATTAATAATAAATATTTGAAGAAAAAGAATCTTGTGAGTTATTTTAAATTAATCTCTTAATTTCATTTTTGTAATTGAGGGTTGAAGAGTATTTTTTGTTGTTGTTAATATTAATGAGTAAATAACTGAAACAGAAACATGCGTTTAGCCTATTTTCTGTTTGACCTCTCGGATAAAGGAATGCTGTCAAGACAGGTGGAACAAAAACATGACCTACCTTTAAGAGGTACATGTATTTGTTCACACTGTCAAACTGCCAGCTTGTGTGCATACGGAACATGTATGGGGCACAGAACACAATGATGTGCTCTGCAGTGCTTTGACCCTACAACAAACCACAAGCAGCTCTCCATCATTCCCACTCACTGTTGTGCCTGGCTGCTTTCATTCTTCAAATGAATGATCACATCAATGGCAGCTGAGTCAAAGACCTCGTTTACATGTGGGCCATTTGGAGGGCTTCTGAGCACACACTGAGCCTGTCTAATGAAAGCTCAAGTACACAAGTACAGCAGCTCTGGCTGGGGCTAGCCAGGACTACAGTTCAGAAGAGCTAACAAGGGACAAAAACAGCTAAGCTTTGAATTTTACCATTCTTGAATACTGATACCCTTCACTGCCACACCCATTTACAAACATTATCATCCCCTTTCCAGTTCAAGAATTGAATCCTATGCTCACTTTGTGTAAAATGTTACATTTTGAAAAACTTCTGAAAATCTATTTAAACACTTCAAAAATCACTTCAAGTCACATTACATACAGAAAAGCCTACAGTATGCAGAAATGTATAATGCAATACCTCACACATGATACAACAGAAATGATCCTTATACAGGAGCAATGTTTCTCTTTCTTGATATTTTCTGAACACAGAACATTATGGTTGCATTTCCCCCCCCCCCTTATTTGGGGGTTCAGTGCAATGGTTTCACTTTAAAACTTAGCTTGCACGGCCACAGATACTCAGAGAGCATTAAACGAGCAACCAAAACTCTCAACACAGACCTTTAGCACAGAGGGGATCTCCCTGGTGTTCCATAACAGTAGATAATGGGATTCTTGATGAGGCTGTTCCACCAATGCACCCTGTATCAAGCTGTGATTTTTGCCATGTTACGTGCATGGAAAAATATTCTCCTCATACAGCTGTAGGAAGGGAAGCATAGCTCTTGAGATGATGTTAGGTGCAAGCATGCAGCCTACTCCAAGCCTGCTTACCCACATATTTTGGCTGGATTACCAACGGAAATTAAAAGTCACTTTAAACACTGAATATGTTAAACCTTCCCCCTTCTCCAAAAACACCTTCGTCTCTTTACAGTAGCTGCACTGTAAATGAATAGCAGGGAGTTATCACTACAGCTGTTGTGAGAAGGAAGACTCCTCCAAAGACATTCACAGTAAATCCAGTGACGCCAAAAATGGTAGATACTTGAATGAAGGGAAACCTGGTAACCTACAAAAAGATCTGTCGTACACCTTCTGATTTCCAACCTTAGAATGACCCAAAGCACAGAGCATAAATGGATTTGAAGGCAGCCTGCAGTACACTTAGACTATTTCTCTTGACAAAACGAAGATGCGAGATTCTCTTCAGTGTTGTACATGCTAATGATTGCAAGGAAAGATTATTTTCCAGATGGGCTTCTGTTTGGTTCCCTCCCCACCTCCAATAAACTGCTTCCCATGTTAGAACAAAATGTCTCACTGGCTACTCAGGAAACTTTGCTGGGATTCTGGCTTCACTCTCTTAGATATAAAGTTGGGAGTTAATGGACCTTGTGTGAAGTTTGAAAACTGTCAGAACCTACTAGAGAGAGGTAGACATTGTCATTTACCTTCTAGTACATAACTGAGAACTAGATTCATCTGCTCACAGCCACAACTGAGGCTATAGTATGGGGCAATGTACTGTAAATTAGCAATTCTAATTATCTGAATTCACTACAGCATAAAATATCTGAGAAAACAATTAGATTTTTGCTTTCTATTAATGTACAGGGCTATTTTTGTACCCAACAAAACTCTTCCAAGTCTGCATATGAGCTTGCTAGTACATACACAGTTCTGGATAAGAGGGAAATACTTGGATCATATCTGCCAAATTCAACAGGAGGAAGGGGGTAAAGAGATATTTTACCTCTTTGCAGTGGCAAAAGCAAAGCCTCCCACTGTGTGTGCGTGAAGAACACACACAATACTGCTACTTTGTAGGAGGTGAGAATTACAGCAAAGAGTAAGCTGAACTTCACAAGTCTGCAGAATTATGGGGCATCTGACAGTACATAATTAATGGCAACTTATGTTTCGAGCAGGGGTTCTCAACCTTTTTTTGAATCAGGTCCCACCTTTGCATTTTTTATTTGACACCCACCCTAATAATAGTGAGAAGGATACTGCCACCTAGTGTTGCTAATGTGTTTGTATAGCAGAGACCAGGCAGAGGACTTACATTTCGATTTAGGCAAAGTGGTACTGTACTATAAAAACACACCTAATCTGTCACTCAGAGTCTCAATGCCACTCGCTCAAGTTTGGCCCAGCAACCTGTCCATCATGAATTAGAAGGTTCGTTGTGCCCCCCTCCTCCCCCACAATTTGAAAACTGCTGCTTTGGAGAGATAGCAGAAGGCTCAGTTGGGCAAAGTTAAGTGTAGATTATCTGAAAACCTTTTGATTATCAGTTATAACTTGTTTCCTACTTAAGTTGCCCCTTCCTTAGAGAAGCAGGAATCAAAGGAGCAGTGGAGGATAATGGGAGACGTAATGGATGTAGTTTCTTCCATTAATAATTACTGAGTCATTAGCTATTAATTACAAAGGCATTGAGAAATGTCACTACGTTAGACATTTTATTTTATTTATTTTTAACGGCGCTTTTTAGGCTACCAGAACTGTTACCAGCAATTTATCGTTCAAGTCTCTGGTTATTTACCCACAGATTTTTGGTTTGCTTTCTCTAAAGGAGGTAGAATTGTCTAGACTAGCAGAGCAGGGGACCACGCACAGACCAGAGTATTGTCTCAGTCAACAGCCCATGGTCACATAGGGATTTATTCAATATCTCTGTGCCTCAGCTTCCTCATCTGTGGGCAGCAAGTAATACTTGCCTACATCCCAGGAGTCCTACAAGAGACTGAGATCCTTGACTAGCAAGTACTATAGAGGTGACAAGTATTGCTTTACTTGCTGCTGAGAACTGAAACATCGGCCTTCCCTCTCCAACATGTACAAGAATAGCAAGGAAGCTGCTCAGACACAGGAGATATTGCTTACCACACATTATAGCCCTTCCCCATAAGACAGGAATTCAAATAGGAGCATTTTCCCGGGATCCAGGTAAAAGGAACAACATTCAGGATAAAATGTGAAGTATTTTATAGCACTTAGCAGATTTCAGCTCCCAGGAAGTGCTTTTGTGTTGGCATAACTGGGACTTAACTTTTCAGATGAAGTTTGTAATTTTGCCACAATGACTTTGCTGTGAATTGGTGAATCCCTGCTTCATTAAGAGCTTTGTCCTTTGTTACACCCTAACGTCTCCTCCAGCAAAGTCAGAGCCTTTTCTTATTTTCATGGCAAACATGAATGTTGACGTTAAAGGAGATATAATAATCTCAGTATTGACTGAACAGGAATAAGTCAGAGAAGACTAAATAAAGAGAGAACTCTTTGGCTTTAGCAGATGTCTCTCTAGATTTCGCTCCACACCGAGATCAGAACAATATTACCTAGAACTGGGTTTAAACAAAGTTATTAGTGTGATTTTCAGACCTGTTTTCCTGACCAAACTGAACAAGAATTTTTTCCTGAGACTCATGCTAGATAAACTGATACAGACCAACCTTGCAGAATACTGACTCAGTTACCTGGGGCAAAGAACTTTGACATGTGAGTAAAATACCATCAGATTTTTCATTAGTCATCATTGTAAAAGCAATTTTGTGATTCTAAGGCAGTTACCATAATATGCTTTTCAGACAAACACTGGTCAAGAAAACCCAACTAGAACCGTGTTAGCAAAAAATGGAGTTTTAAAATGGATGCTTCTAGGCTTTAGAATGCAGGGTCATAAAAAAACATCAGAAATCTCAGAGAAATCATATGATTTGAAGTATACAAGACTGCAGAGCTGCAAGACGGCCCGTCAGCTTAGAGGTCACTAATATCAAACACCATCGCAGCTGCAGCCAATAATCTCACATTACAGCTTGCCAGGAAGTGAAGTTTTTAGCACCTGCTTAAAGGCAGTTCTGAAACCACTATGCAATACATTTAATCCCAAGTGTCAGCATGCGGATGAAGAAAAATGGAACTGCCTCTAAGAATGAACCTCTCCATCCCCCTGAGAAAACACAGAGACGATGCATTTTTAAATGGAATGGTTTATTTTTCCTTTAAGTTAAATGATTTTATTCTTTATTCCCTTGTCAATGGAAATTTCCAGGGCTGAAGGACAGGAGATATGAGGCAGCTATTTTCAGCTTACTGTAGTTGACCAAGTATAATATCTGATTAAAGAATGCAATAAACGTACTTACCAAATATTTCCCCTCCGCTAGCATACTCTGTCACCAGATAAATCATCCTCTCCGTCTCCATAACCTGAACACACAAGGATACAAAGTGACAGCTAAAGAGACTGCCCAGTGTAAAAGGAAATGAAGCTAATTGGAATTTTCTTTTGTTACTTGTAACTTTGACACAAACCGCTTTCAGCAAATTAAAAAGAAGTGGATTGCAATGCTTTAGAGAGCAATGGCGGGGTGGGGAGGGGAAAAGAAGAATGATAATTAAAGGGGCTATTTTAAACACTACTTAAATCCTTCTGCATCCCACCCACAAAATATTTAGTTGCTAGTCTCCACTTGTTTCAAGAACCTCAGAGACTTCTCTGGGCTGCCAAGACTGAAAAGTTCACCTTCGGATTAATCATTCATCACTCTGAAACACTCAAATAACTAGGGACACTTTTTTCTAAAGGAGGGACTACCTGCGAATTAGTAAGTGACTTTCAAATGACTCAAGATCTATCAATCATAAAAGCGATTGGCTCAAGAGCTTTGCTCTAGGGAACCTTCACATTTAAGCGAGAAGACAATGCTAATCTTTATAAAAGCCTTCCAGGGCTCTCGGTGGGCATGGAGCTCTCCAACAAATGAAGGCCAGTTACAGTATCAAGACTAGTTCTCTCGTTTTCAGCAAGCCAATTAAATGCCAAAATTAGTCCCTGGGAAAGGTCAGATAGTTCCACTACAAAGCTGACTTGCTCTAGTAGCCATAGAATAGATGACCAGGCCACAGTAAGTTTCTCTATGGACCCATCATGGTAACATCACCCCGGACGATGGGAGCTACAGAGGAGCTGCCCTGGTGATACCAGACTATGCCAAAACAAGCCGAGGGTGCGGGAAAGGATTTCAGTTGAATTAAAAGGCACAGCCCCAAAACAACATGTTTTAAACAGGCCAATTTCTTGACCTCTTACTATCGACACTAAGAGCATTAATACTAAAAGAAGATTCCAAATCTAAACATTCTTTTAGCTATTCATGCTCAGGGCTCAAAACACTTACCCACCTGAACGTGGAGTAGACAGAGCAGAGTGGCTGAAGCTCCATGCTCCTTCCCACGAGGGAAGGGGCAAGTCTGGGAGCAGATGGGCATGGGGGCATTGATCCTTTCAGAGGAGGGATGTGTAGAAGAAGAGAACAAAGCAGCCTGGAGCCTCTGCTGCTATTTTATGCCGGGGAAGGGGAAGGAAAGCCAGGGAGAAAAGTGGCTGGAGCAGTTGGTGTTTTTGCTCAGGATGGAGGACGAGAGTCAGGGAGTAAAGCAGCCCAGGTGCCACTACTGGTTTAACTGGAGGGAATGGATCTTCTAGCAGCAAGCTTCAAAGTGTGCCCACGAGTGTGTATGTGTGGGTGAGTCCACATGGGTAAGCTGGTGGATGTAAGTAAAAGTAAGAGTTTGAAGGGACACATTAAAAAATTAGAGAGTAATTCTCTGTTCGGATTTCTCTCTCCTTCTTTCCACTTCCCCCAAAATCCAAGAGAATTTTAGTATTAATGCATTTGCACAAAACAGAGGGGGAGATCTCTGGGGAAGTGGAAGGAAGGAGAGGGAAATAAGGATGTGAAGGGAAAGAGGGAGCACTGCACTCAAAGCATTGTGGCAAGATCCAAGGGTGAGATTTTCAAAAGCATTTGACTGATTTAGGAGTACAAATCCCATCGACATGAAACCTGTACTCCTAAGTCACAGTAGTACTTGTGAACCCCCTTCCCCCAGGACTGATAAGAAAGCATGCAGAGATGCCCAGCTGGAACAGTTGGCCTAAGAAAGGTCTGGGACAGAAAGCTACCTTTCAAATGTTTATTAAATAGGAAGTTGGCTGACAATGCACAATTACACGCAATACATTGATCTTTTACTATTTTAAATTGCATAGCAGTGGCTTTGGCAACAGTAGCTTTTATGGGCACGGCAGCACAGTTTTTCCACCATGGCTTCAAGGACTAGTCCTTGGGCAAGCTGATCTCTGGGAAATTTTCCAAGCCTCAATTATGCTATTAGTTTTACGCATTGCTTGAAACTTGGACAACAAAAATTAAGGAAGTCAGTTTCATTTTCCAGTTCTCAATGCTGAAACAGTAGGACTGCAAACCCTTCAGGTGAGCTTGGTTTAACATCCATGTTTCTGCAGGATTTTTAAAATCCTGAAAACATTTTGATTACATTTAACTTTTCCACAAAGTCTAAATAGTCAGCTACATTTGAGATGACAGTTCCTCTCATGCTGAGAGAGACACTAAGCACATTGGCTCTTGTTAAGAGTTTGGGCTTGAAACATGCAACCTTCAGATTAAAAAAAGATGTCCAATCTGGACAATTGCAGTTCTTTAACCAGCAGGTTTTGTTTCTTTTCCCAGAAAAGCTAATAAATGAGTGTGGCAGAGACAAGCCCTTAGATTCAGAATGTGCTATACAGCTTTACTCAATTGTCATGTGATGTGGTTAACAGTTACCACTTAACAGTTACTCCACATATGTGCAAACAAAACATCTGGGTGTTTTTTACATCTTCCTGTTTCCAGGCAAACCTGGTCTCTCACATGTTTTCAGGTACTGGAGACAGCTTCTCCTCTTGCATTTATTGGTTTTGAGTGTTACAAACCTAAAGAAATGTGCCATTCAGATCTTTAATGAATGGCTGGGGAGGGAAGGCTTTAATGACAAAAGGGCTTTGATTTCAGGTTTAGCAGGTGTTTTATAACAACCATGCACCATTTCAAAAATCAGAATAAAACTTCTGTGGAAAACACCCCCTAGAACAGCCAGCTGAAAACCACCACACAGAGGATGCTGTGTTCTAACCCTGGCGGAGCGGAGACATGGCTGCCATCTCTCGGCGTATTCTGTCTGGGGCTTTATATTGCATAAAATAGGTTGACAAGAGCTTTTGGCTCAAAAAAGCGTTACAGGCACCAGCTCTTCCAGAGAGGATATTGCCTGTGCATTGTCACCCTGTACAACTCTTCAAATGGCTGTCACAGGCATCTCACACATGGCTCTTTGGCCAAGGGATCAAGTCATTAACCTTTTCCACCCGAGATTCTCAGTTTTAGTTCCTCTGAGTTTAAATAGCCACTGACTGCAGTGAGACAATAACTAGAAGCAGCTTTGCCTCAAGCAGACAGCAGCTGTTTCTAGGGGAGGGCAGTCTCTACCAGTGCTCATGGTGTCCTCTCTTCTTGGCAAACAAACAGAGCCCCCCATTAAATCACAGGGGAAATAAGCCCCTAAATATTGCAAGTGATACACCAAATGTTCAAACTGTGTTGCCAGCCAGCAGAGACAAGTAGCTACAGACACCACAGCAGACTTTTGGTTCTAATGCATCTCTGGCAAGCCAGTCCCTTCTCAGGCTAAACTTAACGCACGCCCAGCCTGAGAAGACAACAGCATTTTCCCTACTTCATGATCCAGCCCTCAGGAATGGCAGACAGACGAATGTGACAGTACAGTCCATTGGCTCATACAGAAGCTGTCTCTGCTTTCCAATTTAATCCATTGTTTTTAAAGCAGGAAATAAAGGGATCCTACTTGTTAATTCTATTTCTGCATCTTCAGCTCAGCAGATTGTAGCTGAAAGGCAGTTCTGCTTCAGCCTGTCACCCAACAGGCAATATTGGCAGGATACAGGAAAGGGAGTCCTTTTCCACATGGCCTGGTCAAGGAGGTCCAGGACCTTTTACGAGACATTTAAAGTTTCACCAAGGGTTTAGTCCCCATTTAGTTCTCCACTCACTTCACTCAGGTGCCACATCACTTCTGGATCGTCCTACTTGGCCCTTTAGTGAGAGTGGCACCTCCAGAGCAGTATGTACAAACCCACACCACTGCACAGAGCCGAGGGGCTTATCTCACACTGCATGCAGCGGGGACCTTTCCCTGGTGCTTTTTGCCAAGTAAGGAAAGCCAGAAAAGCTGGAGAAAAAACTGCAACAAAATACTGGAGTGATGCTACCACCGTTACTGTCAATGATCACCTTCCACTGAGGACAACGCAGCTAGTCTAAACTGGGAAACTGAAAGGCGCACAATAGCCATAAACAAACGGAAAGAGGCTGCCCTCAGAGGACATTTGATCTTCCAGTAAAACAGAGGACTAGCTACTGAAACACTTCTTTTTCTTTGGGGGGGGGGGGGGGGAAGAGAGGTGTTTTTTTAAATCAAGGTATTTTGTAACCCTGAAAACAGATTTTTTTCCCCATATTTTTACTCTATTGAAAGTATAGAAACAGCCCTATATGTGATACTACTGCACAGGGTAAGCCTGTGGCACAGCCTGCACCAGGAGGGAAAAGCCCATTACACAATGCTCATACCTGATATAATCGGATGATATGCGGGTGGCAGAGCATCTTCATAATCTGAACTTCTCTAAAAATCTTCTTGAGGTTCTCTTCATCCAGCTGTGTCTTGTCAATGATCTTTATAGCAACCTGGCAAAAAAAGAAAGAAAAATGGGTCACTCACTTAGTGACTATTCAGAATTAAGTATTTGTATCACCATAGTGTCTAGGAGTTTCATCAAGGACCAGGGCCCCTTGGTGCTAGGCGCACACACAGAACAAACACATGGTCCCTGTCCCAAAGAGCTGACAGTTTAAGAATTGTCTAGCTGATTCAGGAAAATTCTCCCACTTTAGTACAGACTATTCTCCAGCAACATGCAGGAGATGTATTTAATTTCCTGATCGTTAATGAGAAAAAAGAATGTATGCCACTGAAGTGTGCAATACTGATCTTGGGGTTTCATGTTTTCCCCTCTTCCTATAGTATCTGAACGCTCACCCTAGCATCAGTGACTAGTTAGAAAAGAAGCTTCCTGGAATCCTGGATTGAGTCCCCAGAAATTCCCAACTGCTTTTTTTCAGTTTACAAGTCAAAAGATGACTTGCAGCTTGTCGCCACCGCATCTTAATTAATATACAAGCAGCAAGGCTGTCAGGTTAAGTGCTGATGAAAGATGCCCAACTCAGCCTGAACACTGAAATCCTGTTTGTCAACAGAACAGGAACCGCACAGGCAGCGACACTGCAAGACACACACTTCACCCACCAACAACTTTCAGTCACCGCAGATCTGGACTGGACTTGAACCAGGGGTGCGCATCATTACCAAATCCCTAAGCCATAATGGGGAGGAGGGAGGGGAGGAGGAAGAGAGAGAGAAGAAAATTTAAGGCACCTATAAAAATTGGTTTAATCTTATCTGGGACCACAAACACCTACAGAGTCTTAATCACACAGTTATGACCGGGTATCACTACAAGACAAAGTTAAGTTTGTTGGGGTGCCTTAATTGTGCATTTCCATATCTTAGCATGTTTGATTTCTTTGATGTTGACCCTTAACAGTGAATTTCTTATGTTTATAATGCTTGGTGTTGGGATAATTACAACATCCCTGCAATATGTTTTACCCTAAATTACTGATATTTACTCTCATCCTTAACTCTACTGTCACATAAAATTTTGCCTGGGAATGATAATTCAGATAGGAAGGCTCAAACTACAATCTTTACACTCCCAAGAAGTAGGATTATTTTAATTCATTTTATGAATGACACCTCAGTATAGAAGTTGGAGAGGTTTCAAAGGAATAGGAAGTCAGTGAGAAAACTGAGGAATCAGCAAACTTTGTCAGCTTTGATCAAAGCAAAGTTGAGAACAGTTGACTGGCAGGGTCAAGCCAGCAAAACCTTTCCACCTACAGTAAAACGCAGCCAAGAAGTTCAGCGTGCCAGAGAAAAATCACTGGTACCTTCCAATGCCTATCATCAGAAACCATGGGAATGGGATGTAAAGTGGGGGTGGGGGAGAGAAGGCTTATTTAATTTAAAAAAGCCTCAGCAGACAATAACAAAAAAGCCTTCCTTAATCTCAGTGTTTTCCCAAAAAGATTATTAATTCATGATCAACTGAAGCATCCGCCAGAAACCCACACAGAAGGAAACTGACAGCAGTGAAATTTACTTTGTGCTCTATTTTTGCATAACAAAATGTTACCCTCTACATGTGGACTGGTGAACATCAGCACCGACAGGACGGTTTGTAAAAATCCCACTGTAGGCAGGTGGCCAGTTAGTTAGTTATGTGTTTGGACATTTAATTGTTCAGGTAAGATACTTTTTCATGAAGCGCAACCTACAGTTTTTGATGTTTCTTATTTAGCAAGCCTTACTACCTCCACCCAGCCGATCTTTAAAAATTCCACATCACAAAGAATTCCTTTACTTCCACCCCAGACAGCCTCCTTCCCTCTGCTTTCCCATCACTTCTTTGCAGTGGTATTAAACTGCTCCTCTGCGGCAAGCCTCACCACCTATATGTGCCTGTATTTAAGGGATCAGTGCATCACATTCCAGAAGATGAAACTCCACATATCTCACCACCTGCACAATCCAAAGCATATAGGTTGGAGATGGACACAAGCTGCCCTCTTCCCTAGCCTCATTCAAACTAGTCTGAATCCCCATCTTCTTGTTACATAAGCCGGAGTTTCACTCTCTGCATCTGTTTTCCTCCACAGAAGCTATCTAAGCTCACATGCCAGCTCCAGACCTAAAAAAAGCGACAAAGAGTCCTGTGGCACCTTATAGACTAACAGACGTATTGGAGACGTATCCTGACCTAGACACTGTGTTATGTTTGATCATGCTGCCCAACTGCATAGAAACTGGGTCCTCATTGTTATGAAACTGGCATCAAAGGCAATGTGAATGATCCATCAGCTTCTAAAAGATGGAGATGATTTCTGCTTAGATGGAGAACATTTAGTTTGCGATGAAAATCGGTTTAATCTCATACCTGACTTTTTAATAGGTGCTCATTAAAAAGTTAGAAGCTATTTTTAAACAATGAAAAAAGTGATTAGGTGAAAAACAAAGTCAATTTTTTGAATGCCAGGGGAAAGTGTCTTCTAAAAAGTCCCATGCTTGTTTATGCACACAGAAGAAGTGTTTCTTCTCTTGAACTCCTTTCTACTTATCTGATCCAGTAGTAACATGTAGGCAGAGCACACAAGGCTCAAGGTTCAGATCAGAGACAAGAGTCAGGTCTACTGTCTGAAGCCAAAGAACATACCCATCACGAAACATTTCCCCTCTAGTGCTCACGGGATTTGCCTGTGGAAACCCTACAAGGGTATAGTGCTGGCTACACAAATATGCCAGGGAACTGAAATAGGCAGGCACTTCCTGAAAAGTAACACTGCATTTTCCCAATTTTGAACTACACTTTTAAAATATTGAGCTACACTGGAAACATTACAAAGCTCTTTTAAAGTGTGCCAGTAAAGGGACTGGGCTTTCATCGGATGAGAGCAATGTGTGTCCATCATACATGGAAACAGATTGTTTAATTGAAAGCACCTGGATAAAGGACAGACGTCTGTTCTACAAACTGTTTGAGCAGCTGCACGCTGCTATAGTCTGAAGGGAGAAAAGCTAGCTCTCGCCGCATCGCTATCCACAAACCATGCCAGAGTAAAAGGATAAGCAAAATGGAGTCTGCTCTCAAAGACAGAAAGGAATAACACCGACACATGCTGCGGGCATCTGTAGCAATGCTGCAAAGTCAAAACCCTCCGCAGCACACATCCACACACAAAATATGCATGGTCCACTCTAACCAAAACCCCACCCTACTAAAAAATAACCAGGACACTTGGCAATGCAAGAGTGACAGCTACAGTGTGCCAACAGGTGATGAGCAAAAATGAGTCCATGATTTGGGGATCCACCAGCAAATTTTCTGTTTAGAGCTGGCATTTCACACTAGAAAAGAACCACAATACAACATTCTGTGGTGGTATTTCTTTGATTTTCTATAGTGTTATTTACAAAGACAGCCAATTGCAAGGAAGGGTAGATACCATAAGCCACCAAGTCAGAGTGGCATGGACACACACACATAGCAACACCCTTGTAATGATGTTCCCGAGGTTATATTAAAAACCAGACCAAAGCCATACAGCAGACCAAATGCCACATTTTTTGCAATACTGAAAATTCTCTGCAGATTCCTCATTTTGGCCAGAAACTCATTCCTGGGATGCTAGGGCTTCAGAAAGCCCAATGGATTCCCCCTGCCCCTTTGCTGGGAGGCTGTCAGAACAGGGAGTAGCAAGATACCAAGAGGCCCCACTTTGGATTTCATTTCAATATTTTATAAAAAATGTTAAAACCACACAGAAGTGCTTGTTCGAGGAGATGTGATTTACCTAACTACATTAAAAACAATCAAACAGTGAACAGGAGAAACTGGAAATCCCAACTATAGAACAGCTTGTCTGTAGAAGACTAGAACATTCGCTTAGAGGGCAAGCGTTTCACATACTGGGACATGCCATGTCAACGGACAAAGAAACCGCACTGGCACGAGATCTGAAACACACATTCACTATTTGGAAGTAATCTAGGAAGCCAGAGAACAAGATCCCCATCACATTATGAGTTGCATATTCCTACCAAATGCTGCTTTCAGTTGTGGAGAGAGGGGGAGAGAGGAACGGGTTGCAGGCTCTTTCAAAATCTGCATTCCATCAGTAAGATTGTCCTGAGTCCCATGAGCACAGCTACACGAGATAGAACAACTTTATTTGTGGTTAGAGAAAGCTCACCCAGGTCCCTTCCCAAAACAGCTACAGCCCTACAAGAGATAGACCTTTTAAGTCTTAGCATTAACACAACAGTTCTATAGCTGCATCCACAATACTAGTTAGCAACCAGTGGTATCACCCCAATAGCTCTGTTTTACATGCAAAAAGGTCCTGGGGGCAGTGGCTGCTTTTGAAAGGGGGAAAACAGGTAAAATGTAAAAACACACTGAGAATATGTTTCATAGTTACTTAGGATCCTTGAATCAGGATAAATAACTGCTAGCTGAATAGCTACGGGATTAGTGTGCATGAAATTTCACATCCATGTAGCACTACAGACTACATGAGTTAAGGGCTTTACTCTGGCATTCGCACCTTGAATGCAACAGACTCATATTTCATGTGGAACTGAATGTTACCATAGCAAACTGTAAACAGGCATGTAAACATAAGGCTTAAAACACTAAAGAACATGCCTAACAGAGGACATTTGCTACCTTGGAATTGAACACTTGCTCTATCATGGGAAAAGCACTTTTCAAATGAGAAAGAACAGCCAGATGAAGAGGAGAATCTGAAATACCCCAGAGAACAGGGGTCGGACTGTAAGCTCCACTAGGCAGGAACATGTCTGTGTGTTCTGTACAGCAGCAAGCACATTGTCACTGCTCCGCTAATGAGCTATAATTAATAGTAAACAATCGTAAGAATGGCCATACTGGGTCAGACCAAAGGTCCATCAAGCCCAGTATCCTGTCTGCCGACAGTGGCCAATGCCAGGTGCCCCAAAGGGAATGAATAGAACAGGTTATCATCAAGTGATCCATGCCCTGTCACC